AAATTCATGTTCCTCAAATAATACATGTACCATATTATTCACAATAAAAAAAATATGTTCAGCAACATATCTAGCAAAATTTAAAAGAAAAATACTAGCTAATGTACATTTGTGTATTCCTTAATTAATACTGCATATACTGTATTAATCTCAATGTCCCTTACAGAATAATATAACATGAAAGTACCTAAAAAAACTTAGTTTTTGAAAATTAAACAACACCAGTATAATTCGTTCATAATCATACTAAACAAGATAAGTTGAAAGAGATAATGAATTACAAGACAAGATTGCAATTGGAATACTGCATCCAAAGTACATACCTGACAACATAGTACCAAATATGGACTCCTCAATATAGACAACTTCTGGTGATTTTCTTTTACGTCTTTTCTTGGGTACTTTACTTAATGACATATCATCATTCCAAAGATCAGTGGGACTTCCTGGTGTACCAGGTGTTACAAGATGACCAGACCTCACAGGTGGTAGATAACATAAATTGGGTCTCATAGTCGGATCGGCATAACACTCCTTATCATGGAAGAACATAACAGTTTGTCTGTATGCAACCTCAGCTGATGGTGACATCAAGACATTTAATGGATTACCTGAAAAACTACTATATGTTCTCGGAATTGATAGCAGGCTCTGTAATTTATGAAATGCATTAATTCCTCTTAACACACAAACCAATGCTGGTGATGACATCAGTGTTTTAATACTTGGATGCCATTGCTTATCACCAACTTCAAATGGTGTAATCTCTTTAGCCTGTACAGTAGACAATGAAGGTAGCCATTTAATACCCAGTAGTTCAAACCAATCAGCAGTGTCTGCAGTTGACCCCTGAATTAAAGAAAAAGAAATCAGATTACAATATTTGCTCCACAAGAAGCACATCTCCAATAAAAGCACACTTAAAGCAAGAATTAAATAGAAATATATCTCATTTTGACCATAGACTCATTATGACCATAGATTTGACTCATTTTGAACATAGACTCATTAGAACCATAGATTTGACTCATTTTGACCATAGACTCATTATGACCATAGATTTGACTCATTTTGAACATAGACTCATTATGACCATAGATTTAACTCATTCTGAACATAGACTCATTATGACCTTAGATTTGACTCATTATGACCATAGATTTGACTTATTATGACCATAGACACATTATGACCATAGATTTGACTCATTTTGAACATAGACTCATTATGACCATAGATTTGACTCATTTTGAACATAGACTCATTATGACCATAGATTTGACTCATTATGACCATAGACTCATTATGACCATAGATTTGACTTATTTTGAACATAGACTCATTAGGACCATAGATTTGACTCATTATGACCATAGACTCATTATGACCATAGCTTTGACTTATTATGACCATAGATTTGACTCATTTTGAACATAGACTCATTAGGACCATAGATTTGACTCATTATGACCATAGATTTGACTCATTTTGAACATAGACTCATTAGAACCATAGATTTGACTCATTTTGACCATAGACTCATTATGACCATAGATTTGACTCATTTTGAACATTAACTCATTTTGAACATAGACTCATTATGACCATAGATTTGACTCATTATGACCATAGATTTGACTTATTATGACCATAGACTCATTATGACCACAGATTTGACTCATTTTGAACATAGACTCATT